GTGACTTTTTACAAATCTCCATGGCGGCAAAAGATTCATTTAGCCGATCCCAAATAGTTGGGACTTACGGTTTTATTGTTGTTGTATTATTTTTTAGGCCCTCTCTCTCTCTCTCTCTCTCTCTCTCTCGCTCTCTCACACACACACATGCTGATGTAAATGAATACTATGTGTACTTCATGTAGTCATATCCTGACTATCACCGCAAGCATTCAATTTCAATCCATTTATCTGAGACATTGTGACTTGTATTGTTCTTGTAAAGTAATGAATCAATTTAAGTGACAGACTGATACATGATCGTTATCATGACAAAAAGATTTCTCTCTTTTGTCAAATTCTTATATCTTCATGTTAGTGACATTATTTTCTCATTAATTAGTAACCTATTGTAATTCAACTTTATCGGATTTTTTATTTATCAGGTTTGTGACATGCTTTTGGAAGGAAGGGAACTTGAGTTCTACAAATGGGACAGTGATGTTCATGAACTGTTGAAAGGCACGAGGGAGAATCTCAACAACCTAGGAGAAGTACACAATATGATGATGCTATGCTAGATATGCATTTTATTATTAAGGAATTTCAGTTCATTAGATATTAATTATCTTCTTATTTGACAAATTTGTCTCTGCAGCATTGGACCCGAGATGAAAAGAACACCTGTCTGAGGGAAGCAGCTAAGTCATTCCGGTATTTGGGGCAAATTGTGCGCTTGATCATTTTGTAACTTCCTTTTATATTCTATTTTATGCGGCTTAAAATTTTCCATACTAAGCAGTGCTGCTTTGAAAGAGGGAGATCAGTGGTCTAATTGATTGTCTCATTGTAATTTGTAATTTATGTTGATATTGGAAAATGAAGCTGTATAAGGTTTCTGGCATTTCCTTTTAAATATACCTTTGATCATGCTTCTTGATTAATGTAGTAGTTTTACTTTTGGGTTATTTGTTATTTTTGTTATTTTTCACTTCTAATTTTTGAAGTGCAGCATCCACAAATTTACAACCAAACTCTTTTTTCATCTGTCTGAGCTCTCTCTTTATGTTATGGTCTCTTTTCCTCGTCATCCTGTCCCCTCTTGTTCCTTTTTGTTATGTTTTTTTCTTGTCATGGCGTCATTGAAACAGCTCGTAACTGATTGATTGATTTCTGATTGACCTATATAGTCATTAATCTGTTGCTTAATTCTTTCATTTGTCTTTTTGGTTTAACATGCCTCTTTTGTTCTGTATTCAGTATTTGGAATTGGAATGCCCTATTCAGAAGGAATGCCTATTAAAATTTGCACTATAGATGACTTGCATGTGGAATAGGCATGGTCTTGAATTCTAGTGTTTCTGTTTGGTTTCAGGAGGTGTGCCCACGAAACTTTTATCATCATATTTATAATCATCTGTTGTTTTTGAGTAAACTAAAAAATCTCCCCTGCAGTTATTGGGGTACCCATCCCCCCAAAGGATCTTCGATCCTCGTGTATTCTTTTCTCATTGTTTCTTTAGTGATTCATTTAATATTACTGTGATCACTATGAATAGCTAAAATTATTATCCTTCTAGCTTGTATGTGTTTGGATTAATTTCCTGAAGGGTCCCTCCATTTGTTTGAGTTCATTTTGGACTTTAGAGTGTCACATCTGTTATTAAATCATAATGTGCCTGCTGTTGTATGAAAGTTGTCTCATCTCCTGTGTATCATTGAGAAAGATTCCGAATTGCTTATGCTGCACAGCATTGTATGTTTCTGAATTTATTAAGTCGAGACAAGAAGAGTGAGCATAAAGTTGGTTTGTTTATTTGCTAAATCCCAAAGGCAGTGTTTTGTTTTAGAGTTGCCTGTCTTCAATGAGGTACATTTTTGGCAGGTGTCCACTGATGGTTTAGCTTTCACCTTTCTGATTTCTCTATCTGTTTAATTGTTTTTTTCTTAGCAGATTCAAATGGAGAAGAGTTTATTCAGCGTTGCCGTTTAGTGCATTATTACTGTCAAGGTTAGACAAGTTGGTCATCTTTCATTTTTTGTTTCATGTTGCCAAATTATTTTTCCAGCTTAATTTATTTGTAACAAAAGTAAAAAAGAAAAAGAAAACTATAGTTACTACATGTTTAGACTGTCCGGTGTAGAATAATTGCGTGATGTGTATGTAGGTAACTGGAGTCATTTTAGTGGAGCTGTACTCAAATGATGGGGCATCGGGTCCAGGTGGGAACTGCACCACAGCTATGGAGGTCGATACTGATGGGTGATCTCCTTTCTCAAACACAAATGGATCCCACACAGCAGAGCTGGTATCATGAAGACAGGTGATCTCCACCCCCAAACAAACGCCACTAATCACACGAGGTACGCAATTTCTCATGAGGACGAGTTACAGTCAACCAGCATTAAAGAGTAAACATATCAAGTGGGCATCGAGAGGTACTTTGGATCACGAGTCCGTAGTGGAATCGCGCCAAGCCATGTTGTGTTATTATGAACATGATAGCTCCGTAGGAGTCACGCATGCGTAGGGCCAGGGATTAACTTAGGTTCATCCTTCAAACGCACTCCTCTCGATGATGACGAGGAGATTGGAAAGACGAGTTCTTCGTGTGAACTTGTGGACGCCTAAACTTTTGACATGATGAATTATAATTCTTGAGACGTATATGTATTTCTCAGGTGGTGGCCTCATGTCCGGTTGCCCTCTTTCAGGATTAGGTATGGCTTATTTAGTACATATTTACTGGTGCATAGAGGACACCACTTCCATGCGGTGGGCTGAGTCATTTGGTCAGGCCTGCATGTCAGGTGTCGCTCCACCGACCATCGCTGCGCTGTGACACTTGGGTCGTGTCTGCGTTAGTAATGCTTTTAGTCATCGTGGCATCGGAGTCAATGCGTGTCGAGGACTTGTTGTCCTTTTTGATCGGGTTGAGAAGTAGGCATCGAAGACATGTCAAAAGCATGGGCGTTTGGTGGCCACTTAGGGGCCCTAATATATTTAATAAGCGGAACGAAAAATATTAGCCGGAGACGAATCATGCAAGAGGTTGATGTGTGGTGATATGGCTTCTTACGAATCATGTAGTGAAAACTAGACGCATGTACGCACGGAAGTGGTCAAAGAAGGCTGTGAATGGCCCATATATGTCATCAATTAGATAGATATCCACATATCTTTAATCTAGAATATTCCTTCGAGCATATGGACGCTCTTCCATTAGCCTTCGTGTAGTAAAACTCTGATTATGAATCATTAGTAACTAAATCGAAAATATAATCCCCGAATATCTAGATATTTGTCAAACTGACAGAAAAAATATGCTATCTCAAAATCAAAGAAATGTATAAAATATATTAATTTTGGAATCATATATATATATATATAGAAGTGTCTGGTCCGCGGCTGATGTCGTTGGACGAAATCTAAGCAAGACCTTGTCCTAAGCGGAGAGATTAGGACTCTCCCGTCTTTTCTGTTACTTGACAGCCTCCGAAACGGGCAACACTTTCATGTTCTAATTATTTTTCCGTTTGAAGGTCAATATGCCAATCGAATCCAGAGGCTTCCTTTAAATCCCACAGCATAAGATCGATCAATAACTAATGCCAGTCACGATTACCGTCGTCTTATCTCTCGTGGCTGTTTCTGCGCCCCGGTTTTCTCCGCCACCTTTGCGACGGACTTTGTCGCCTCCTGTCTCCCTCTGTAGACAAGTGGAGACGTCGACGCACTCGGGGGGTTCGGGAGGGGAGACCTCGAAAAGGAAGGATTTGGGTTGGGTGGAGGGACAGAAGGGAGTTTGGAGTTAGGAACGTGTGGAGAAGCGAAAGAGGAGAGCTCCGGGAGGGTGTCTGCGGCTGGCGGTAATGCTGGAAGCTCACGTGGAGGATTTAATACGTCGGGGCGGGGAAGACCAAACCCCACCGAGTTTCTTGATGCTTGGGCTCCGCTCCTATTAAAAATCCCACCTTTTGAGAGGAGAGAAGCAGACACAGCTTTTTTCTTCTTGTTCTTCTCGCTTTCGTGAAAGGGCCAGGATACAGAGGGAGCAAAATGGCAGAAGAGTGGTGCTTATTGAATAAGGTAGGTGTTCTGCGCGAATCGTTTTCGGTGGCTGATAGGAGTAAGAAAGTTTGGATCTTGATCTTGTTTCGATGTGGGTTTTTTTTTTGTTTTCCTTGGGAAGAAGAGATCTATTGCCCCCACCCCTTTATTTCAAATAAATTTCGGATTTTGTTCGCTTCGGACTTTTCAGTGCGACAGGGTACGACTTTGGAGTTATTGTTTCCGTTGAAAAGAAGATATGGATATGCCTCTTGGGTTTCTGTTCCTTATTCCACCTAGTTGATGGGATTTTCTTGAACGATCCTTGCTTTTCTTGCTCTGCTCTGTCATCGGATTTGTGGGTTTTAGGCATTTCCATCATCCGAGATCTTGGCCGAGCCCCGATCATCTTATATCTCGGCAAATATTTTATGCCATTTTTGCTGCAATCAAGTATAAACTTACTTCATAGGCTCTTTGTGTCACATGAGATTACAGGTTCGTTCCACTCTCGTGTTACTGATTTTTCCTCTTCTAATGTATGCCACCGGAAGTTGCATGCGATTGCTGTTGATGGTATATGCTACTTCATGCATGGATTTTTGTTTCTTTTTGTTCTTCTTCCAAAGCGGATGAATGGTAAATCCAACCGGCAATCGGTAAATATTCTTTCGTCTCTTGCAGGACACACTCGTTATAAAGCCACTGAAGAAATCACACCTTGCGTTGAGAATGTTTGTCTTAGCCGCTGTTATGATTTGTGGCGTTTATATTTTCTCGGTATGCCTAAAGCAAATAGGGAGTCAAAGCATGCCTAGATTTGTGAAGTTTGAACTAACAGAAGAGCCTTGTAGCAGTGTTGGTGTTCCGCCATCAGAAGCTTCATATTTGCACTACCCAAAACCCACAACGTATAGCAGGTAACTCGGATTGTTATAGTCGTCAATTCTGATCTGGATCTTACCATAATTTTGATCAGTGGTGCCTCGAAACATACAGGGAGGAGTGTGCATGTACACCGGTTCGAAAGTTTGCTATTTTGTCGATGCAGAGGTCTGGTAGTGGGTGGTTCGAGACTCTCTTAAATAGCCATGTTAATATTAGCTCTAATGGGGAGATCTTCTCGATCAAAGAACGGAGGAATAACATGTCATCTATCATAAGGACACTAGACAAAGTATACAATCTGGATTGGTACAGTAGTGCTTCTAAAAATGAATGCACCGCTGCTGTCGGATTCAAGTGGATGCTTAATCAGGTAAAGCTGTATAAGACAAATCCATTAAACCATTCCAAGTCATGTGTTTCTAACTATGATATAAGCTGAAGTCTTGCGTGTGTTCGCCCTTGGGTATGTGCGTGTTTGATTCAGCTCGCTGCTTATTCTTTAAATTTTACATCATAATACCTGTTTTATAGTCCTGAAGATGATTTATTGAATTTCTTAATTTTGAGAATTCCTTGTGGAAAGGGGAAAAAAAATCTTTTAGCCAGGGATCATTCTTCCCTCAAATTTGGGACCGTAGAAGCGTCCAAGATCTTGAGGATGCTCTTTAAGTTTAGTGATATATTGTCCAATAAGCAATAGTTACGGGAGCTTGAATGCTTTTCAAAGCAATTTGACCAAAACTGCAACAAAATCAAGTATGCATTACAAGTTAGCCAGGGGATCAGCATCATTCATCGGTCGTAGAGAGGCAATAACTCTGGTACTCATGGTTGTACGCACTGGTGGTCATCTCATATCATAATCGGACTTAATTATCATCATTACATACCGAATACACCATGACATTACTAGAAATATACTGTTATTTTGTGGGAACTCAATTTGTTATAAGTCAGTCACTAGGCTTCATCTTCTGACATGAGCAAAAAACTGATCAGCCAAATGCCCAGTTTGTTGTTGATAAGAGTTTCTGCCTGTTCGTCAATGTGATGTTCGACTTTAAATTTAGATGAATGCCTTTAAATTTATTGAAGAATGTTCAGTTTCATTTTTAGGTTATTAGGTGTATTGGATTCTTAAATAAAGGTTCTAAAGTTATTTGTAATGAACAACCAGGTCTAAGAGATAATACACATGTAACTTATCCTGTATTGGCACACTGACCCAGTGGACTCATAACTTTCTTCGCATTTTATGCTTTCTATTTCTTTCTCTCTAGGTATGTCTGGCTGATCTCTCTCTCTCTCTCTCTCTCTCTCTCTCTCTCTCATCATGTTCGTCAGGTTTGGTGCAAGCAGCATTTTCCTTGTTTTATGATATTCAAAAGAGTCAAAGAAGTTCTTTGTCGTCTTAAAGCTCTCTTTTGCTTTCCTCTATCATTAAAATTTCTAATCTCTCTCTCTCTCTCTCTCTCTCTCTCTTATTTCTTTGTATATTTTGCCATTCTGCCCCCTATCCCCCTTTTTTTAATCTGTGATAATTATGTAAATAGTCAGTTTTGTTTCACTTAAACTCCATCTTGATGCCTTTAGGTGCTCTTTCCACATCGAAAAGGTAGAAATTTATTTTCCCTTGTTCTATAGCTTCCTTGAGTTCACCAAAGCCTAGTTGATTAAACCTAATCCGAGAGTTACATTGTGCCAATTACTCCATTGATCAGAAACCCAATCCAATGTTCCACCAAGCATCAGTATTAGGGTCTTGTACTCTTGTTACACTGATAAACAATGATTTCATGTTGTGCTTTGCTATATCTGTTCACATCAGGCACATGTTGTGATTTGCCAGATTTTCCATAGCTAAGACCTTTTGTTTCGTTTGCAGCTATTCGTCCTTGTGAAGGAGTCCTTTTATACTTACAGATCAGTTTAGCTCTAGAAATATGAAGATGCACTGATATCATCATTCCTGTGTCCATTTCAGGGTCTTATGGCCAATCATGATGAAATAGTCAAATACTTCAATGAAAGAGGTGTATATGCAATACTCCTGTTCAGAAGAAATCTACTTCGTCGTTTGGTTTCACAACTTGCGAATGATCATGATCGCAGAACAAAGCAACTGAATGGCAAACATCGAGCACATGTGCACTCGGAATATGAGGTCAACTCTTTGACATCAAACAAACATTAATATTTTGCTGCTACAAGCTCCTGATGTTTTTAAGTTGGTAACTGCTTTCAGGCTAATGTGCTTGCAAAATACAAACCCACACTCAATGCTACGGAATTGATGTCCAGCCTTAAGACGGCTAATGAGTGTGTTACAAATGCTCTGGATTACTTCAACAGCACCCGGCACATTGTTTTGTACTATGAGGATCTCATTTTAAACCACACTGTGAGTTCTCTAGTGACTTTAGTTGGATCCATTGCTCATTGTTTTCGATGCTAGTGTTGCTTAAAATTGTTTTTGTTCTAATTTCTCTACCAGAAGCTGGTTGATGTTCTTAAATTCCTCGGAGTGCCCCAGAGACTCATGGTTAGCCGTCATGTTAAGATACACAAAAAACCACTATCCAAGCAGGTCGAGAACTGGGAGGATGTTTACAATGCCATTAAGGGAACCGAGTACCAGAGTTTTTTGAATGCAGACTATAAACTATAGATTACGAAGAATGATCCCAGTTGGTACGAGTTGATTGCATCCGTGTTTCTTCCAAGCTTACAACAAGCTTTTCCAGTGAATTGCCATCTCAGGGCACAAGCAAGCTGCGGTGGCAGGGGAGCTTTCGTCTTCTTGGTACTTGCGGAGTTTTCATAGAGGGTTTTTTCAAGATTTCCCATCCCAACAAGGGATGCAAGATGAGATGATGATGATGCTAGGGAATTGGCTGAAGAGTGTCGGTTTATCTATGTATATGAAGGTCTTTTCTTTGCCTGCTCAGTCTGTTTATCCTCCTCAAAGCATGCTTGGGAAGGTGAGGTTATTGGAGTGTCATCAACCTGCTGCTGAGAGTTTTCCTTATAATCTGCATTAACCGATGAACTTTGAACTGTTCATATTGTGATGGTCTGTGCGACCTGAAGAACTCTTGTAGGAAATGACCAACACAGTTTTCTGTTACAAGCACTTACGATTTTGCACATTTTTATTGAGTGATTTATGTGATTTTAGTTCATAATATTGTGCTTGTGGTTGCCACAATCAATCTATTTTCCTGTTACCATCATTCCATTAAGAACATGAATATATATATTTCATACAAATTCAATTTTAGAGCATTATATACGACCACCTGTATACAGGAAATAGTTCATATTTCATCTAATGACCCAAAGCTCAAGTTAATTAGTGAATTGTCCGGGGGAAGAATATAAACATATAGATCATGTCTGATCAAATAAACTAGTGAGGATCACCTGCTCAGGATTTAACGATTTCTAGTACTCGTGCATGCTTGTAAGGAAGAAAAGATAAAAGACTTCTCCAGATCGGCAAAAGAGTCACAGAATTCAAGAACTGATAAGATCATCTCCATCCCATTCTTTCTTCATGGAATTGAACTGAAGCCTTTATGTATTAGCAAGCACAAGCTGGTCCATGGAGCACTGTGACTATATAACACACACACACACAACCCAAGTCCACAAGCTGTAATTCTCAAAACAACTCCAAAGACATTATTATAATTTTGCAAGATGAGACGCAGTCTTGTGCCTCATCCAATGCTGAGATTTTGTAGTCACTGAATCAACAACCACCTTAAGAAAATCATATATCTGCTTAGGAAAACTATATCAAAAGATTTGGAATTCCACCCTGGGAATCAAGAAATGCATTTAGCTCTGATGCAGTCTATGCCGATGACATGATGGCCAATATTTTCTTCCCCAACCAATGGCCGAAAAATATTAACATCATGCTTTTCCCAGATGGGGTACTTCATTGAAGTAGTCCGTCATGTGCCAAAGTCGTGCCAAACGAGGGTCACTGAAACGACATTCACCGTAACTTGTTCTATTATTACAAACTAAAGTGGTTGGAGTAAATCACAATCCTTATTATTACAAACTAAAGTGGTTGATGGAGTAAATCACAACCTTTTGAACAAAGCCTTTCCCTATAAGAACATAAAGTTGTTTGAGCAATAACCCTGGATCACAACGTTAACCGCCACAGCATAAACCACAAGCAGGATGGGAACCTGAAAATTCATCTTACGACATGGTTATGGTATCTAAAACACAAAGGGTCATAATATCGATAGGGTTTGACAACTGTAACTTACTATGGTCATTAGACCGGAGATCGCTCAAGGTATATGGCCCACGGCGGCCACCGGGCCCACCACCATATGGACCTCCTCCAGAACCACCTCCGGGTCCTCCACCATGACCACCATCCCATTTCTTGCTAGAGCCCAATCCTTTCTGGTACTGATCTGATTTCTCCATCTGAAAAGAAATAGTTACTTATTGCAGGCATTTCAACTCTTTCTACAAATATTATCAACTTTAATCATCTACTCGATGATTTGAATCTACCATAAATTATTATGAAGAGCATACCGAGAACATTGTTATAAAGAATACTCCAAAGAAGTTTACAATGGCTCAGAAGAAATCCGATATTAAACTAAACCACCATATCGTACGCTTTGACTTCACAACACCTGCAGCCAATATTAGAATTTACAAGTTCAGCCCTACATTTTTAATGCAATATCCCTAGCAGCATAAATTAGTTGAAGAAATATCATGATCTTCTAACTTGATGTACTGCAAAGTTCATATAGTTAACATTATCAATTATGAAGAGTAAGGTCTGTCATACCGAAATGTACCGCCCGTACCGGTCCAACAAGTTACCGGTATGCGGACCGCCCGGGTACCGCTACAGTGCTACAGTGCTGTACTGTAGCAGTGCTACAGTAAGAAAAAAATAAAAAAATTATTCGGTACACCAGGGTGTACCGCTCGGTACGCCTTGATATACCGTCCGGTACACCGGTACTATACATTACCGAGCCCGGGTCGAAACGCACCTTGATGAAGAGTAAGATAGGCAGCATTACAATTGCATGGTTATAGCTCAGATTGCCTCTTGGATGAAATCACATGCCAAGGCCATAGAACTTTGGATGGATGTGTCCATGAGATGCATGCTTAGATCCAAAACCCTATCCAAGATGTCTTGATGTTTACTCCTAGAATACTCAAGGATCATGTTCAGATCAACTAAGTTCTGGCAAGATAAACGAGCATTACTGCTAGAAGGAAATCTTTGGTTGGGCATTATTTAAGAGATAAACAACCACATCCTTTTTTGAAGAAGGAAATTCTTCTCCGCCTCCACAGTTCACAATCGGATCCAATCAATCCTATCAATTCATGGACAGGTACCCTCACAACTCACTCCGCTCCTCCCCCTCTTCCTCCCTCCCCTCCACAGTCGCCTCCTCTCTTGTATCTGGAAGTGTTTCCAGCATCATAGAGGCATTTCAGCGAGATGTCACTCGGAAAATTTCGTATTTGCATATCAGGAACATAGCCCAGTGGACGCCTCATGGTCAGTAATGTAAAATTGGTATAAACAAAGTTTACACAGGGTCCTCAAAATTCACGCTTGATTACGAGAAACAAACAGCACCGGAATGAAATCCAACACCGATGAACGACAATAGGATGGGATTTAAAGACTGAAACGACGACAAAGGAAACAGAAGAAATGCATGTTGACCCTATCCAGCACAACTTAGTGCAAAGAATCAAAGTTCCAAGCAAGAAAATATCTTGGAACCCTAAATCGATCAGCCCAGATAGAACAAAGACATCGAAACAAAACGAGAATCGCATCGGGAAACCTAAACCTAGATTCGATCTCCGAATCGAACTGAAACAAAAAGAATCGGGAGGAAATCGATACCGTTATCGATGTACGCCATTCTTCGTCGACTCACCGAGGTCTTCGATCGGTCGCATCCACGTGAAGATGACCGCTTACACTAATAAAAAGGATCTCGCGAAGCCTCTAATTCGAGAGGAAAGCTTCGATCATGTGGAAGAAAAAGTCCCCGAAGCTGAACGCGTCCCGCTTTGTTATACGTCCTTTTGTTTAATATTAGTTTATAATAATAAGAGATACAAATAAAAAGCAATTTTTTTCTCGCATATATATATATATATATATATATATATATATATATATATATATATATATATATATATATATGTAAATATAC